GAACACAGGATTTAGCTCTATTCTATTTCCTGGTGCTCTTTTTTTCCCTCAAAAATTTCATTTTGTAATTTATCCTGCCCAACTCGCTCCTTTTCATTATACATCTTCATTAGAGTTATCACTAGTAACCTTACAACAGAGTCTATACTAGGCTGTTTTGAGATTTCCTCTGTCAATGGAATTAATCCAAAATTCTTCACTTTAGCCTCAGGCAGACTCTTCAGACAAGGGCAAAAGGCAGCCACTTTCTTCACCAAAATATCACAAGAATGATCTCTTAGGCTGCATACTAAAATTCTTCTCCTTGGCAACCTCTTGAGTGAGTACTCCACATTTAATCATATCACACTCAGCACCACTGTCTCCCATGCTCCTACGGCCCATGAAGCAGCACTTAAAACATTCAACTGCTTTTCTAATCCACCGTCCCCCCAATCCATTTTACTCTGAACAAAAAATAGTGAGGCCTGTCACAGCAATACCCTACTCCTGGTACCAACTTCTGTCTTGGTTAGGGTTTTCTATTGCTGTGAAAAGACACCATGGCCATGACAACTCTTACAAAGAAAACATTTCATTGGTGTGGCCCACTTATAATTTCAGAAGTTCAGTCCATTACCATCATGACAGGGAGCATGGCAGCTTGCAGACAGTCATGGGGCTGGGACTGAGAGTGCGACATCTTGCAGGCATCAGGAGTCAACTAACACACTAGGTGGTATCCTGAGCATAGGAAACCACAACCCCCTCCCAATAGAGACACACTTCCTCCAACAAGGCCATACTCACTCCAAGAAAGCTACACCTCCTAATAGTGCCACTCCCTATGAAATTATGGGGGCCAATTATGTTCAAACTATGACAGAAGAGTTGTCACAGCTGGAGGAAGTGAGATGGAGAGTTCATGTTCAATCAGACAGTGTTTTAGTTTGGAAAGACGGGAAGTTCTGGAGGTAGATGATGGTAAGGATGCCTTCATGGCACTGTAAACATGCTTCAAGCTCCTGAACTGTATGCTTAGATGTGGGGACCATGGGGAATTTTATGTTAGATCCATTTTACCACACTCAAGTGTCATGTAGTCTGCTTAAATGTTCCTGTTAATATCCTCAATTCCTCCAAGTAGAGAAGAACCCTGAAATGCCCCCTTACCTGACCTGCCCATTTGTTTTGCTTCCTCTCTCTGTGCTCCAGTCCTAGACATACCTTTAAAGGCTTCCTGAACCAGCTCATCCCTGCCCTAGGGATTTTGCCCTGATGCATAATCTCTGGTGTCACTATTCTTTAATCTTCAGGAGGCTGCCCATCACCCACCAGCCCTCATACAACAGGGCGACCTTCTCTTGGCTCCTGGATAACTGTGTTGCTGTCTCTAAGAGCCCAGCCTTGTTTTACGATTTGAAGTGACCCCATGGATCTTTTTATACCCCTGCCTAGGTCAGCACCAGTTAGGAAAAGGGTACAGAGGGAAGGACAGGTAGTCCAGGATGAGGTCCGCGGTGGAAGCCAGGGAGATTAAGGTCCTTGGAGGAGGCAGGGTTAGCCAGGCATACTCTTGAAGCCTGGGTACAGGGTTGGAGGTGCATACTGAGCCTATCTCATGTGACGACAACTCAGACGACCAGGTTATTAGAGTTAGGGTGACCTGTCCAACCCCAATAGCTTCTCTAGTGTCACCGTGCAGCATGTGTGGTGACAGGCTGGAGTGCAGAATCCATGAAAGCCATGTACTTTCCATCTCTTTCCTCTTGAAGACTAGTCTTGCTAGGAACCTCTGAATGTATTGGGGACATGAGCCCGGCTGTGCCCAAACCAAGAAGCAACATTCCTAGGATGAGTCAACATAGACTCTCTGTGGCCCTGGGGAACCTTTGTCCACAGGGACCATGCTCACCCCTGAGCTCTGTGTGGCCCAGTGCAGTTCCCTTTGTCCTGGCTGGCCCTGGGCTCAGAGGCCAGGATGAAGGACAGGATCCCGCCCCAGGCTCTGTGGTCAAAACCACAGGGCTGGTTCCTGGCATAGCCCAGGCACCCCCCCACACACTCTGCACTCCAGGAGGCGGCTGGCCAGCCACTTGCTCCCCCCAGCCCTGCCAAGCAGGAACAACCATGTCCCTTCTGTCCCTCTCCTCCCTGGTCACAGCTTCCAACTCCTTCAACTGTGAAGAGGTAAACTCCAGAGGCTGTGCAAACAGGCCGTGTGGCCACCACATCCGGGATGTCTCAACAGCTGCGACCCCAACAAGCTGTCACCCTCCGTCCCCAGAGATGTGCTCAGTGCCAGAACGAGGAAAGGACTTGGGTGGGAGCTACAGTTTCCCCAGTGCAGTATGTGCATCTATTGAGTGCCTACTGTGTGCAGCCTGTGGGTACAAAGGCTACAGTGGGATTTTTTTCTAAGTAAGGATAGACAGGAGTTGGCAACATCACCTGAGCTGGGGGTGGATGAGGCCCACTGGGCCCAGCTCAGTGAACACAGGGTGCCAGGTCCTGTGCAGGGGAGAGAAACTGGTAAGGCAGCCAGCTGCCCAGGCAGTGGGCGCTCCAGAGGTGGGAGTTTGCAGGATTCTCCTGTTGAGACCAGCTTATCATGAATTAAGTACAATTGAACACCAGCTGTTGCCCAGCCTGTGAGCAGGTAGGAAGGCCAAGGAGGGCAGGTTGCAGTTGAGGCCTACAGAAGCCATGCGGGTGACACGGACCATCTAGGAAGGGGACAGAGCCCACTCTCCAGACCATCTCTGGGGGTCCTTCAGCAGCACCATTTAGCAGTGGAAAGTGGAACTGGACGTGAAAGAGGACATGGCAGATCTGAAGACCCTGGTGAGCAGCATACGGAGCAAAGGTCTGATGTGCAATACCAGACCCAGCACCATGTCTCTAAGCAGCAGCCGTAGGCTGCACATGCTTTACACACGCACTGGGCACTAAAAAAAACTGCAAAGGCAAAAAACAGGGGTCAGCCTGGCAGCCAGCCTTAGCCCACCCAGGAACCTGGGGGCATCTGCCATGCCAGGAGCCAATGTGAGCAGACTCTTGACATCATTATTGAGATAAAGTCCACACGGTTTTATCCACCCGGACTACATCCAAGGCCGCAGCTCAGCAGCATGCACAGCCACCCACATCCACCTCTAGAACTTTCCATCTTCCCTGCGGACACTCTGTCCCCTCTAAAGACACGCTCTTCAGCCCCTGGCATCCCATCTTACTTTCTGTCTCTGCCTCAGACAATTCTGGGGTCCTTCTAGAAGAGGGATCCTGCAGGAGTCTCTCTTTAGAGACCAGGATCTTCAAGGTCCACTCAGGTTGTGGTGGGTATCAGAGGGCCCTCTTTTAAAAAGTCTGTATACTATTCCACTGTAGGGATGGGCCATCACTCGCTCAGCCATTGTCAGATACCTGGGGTACCTCTGTTCTAGCACCCATGGGACAAGGTCACTAGATCAGGGGTGGCAGTATTAGTCACTGTTTTCTCTCTTTCTAGGGAATGTACCTAAGAGTAGAACTGCTAGGCCATATAGCAGCTCCATTTTTAACTGAAGTGTCAGGATGGCCCCACTTGGCTGTCTGCTGACTCATCGGGGTTCCTGCCTCCCCACATCCCTGCTAGCACTACCCGTGTTCTGTTGTTCGATGGCAACTGACCTCTTGGCGGTGAGATAGTTCAAAGGCTTTTCATATGGACCTTTCCCTTTCCCAACATTTCATCTCTAGGAATTTACCCTCAGAGAGGTAAGCGCAGGGGCAGTCAGGGAGGGACTTCCAGGATACTCAAGTCACTCTGTGCCACTCCCCCAACCTGGCCCACCCCTCGGACTTCCTCAGGCTGCTGAGATCTGGTGTGTGTTGCTGGTGGCTGCAAGGCTGTAAGAGAAGGAATGTGAACATATTCTGTGTGCACCTGACAGGAAAGCAGAGCTAAGATGTGGACACCCTGCTCTTTGCAGCAGCCTAGAATGGTGGGTTTGTTCATGGTCAAGGAAATGGCTCCTCACAACCTTCAGGGAACCCAACCAACACATCTGAGAGAGCAGAGCCTCTGGAATTCCCATTCAGGATGGGCAGTAGGGTCAGGAAACTCCCAGTTATTCCCTCGCCCCACTGTGCCCCTGGTATGGGGTTCACCAGTTCCATGAGCTGAGGCCCCAGGCAGGTCCAAGGCCTTTGGACCCTTGGCCATCTCCTTTGTCAAGGCCTAGGGTTAATAAGCCGGCCCTGGGAAGAGGTAGAGTCCAACAGGGAAGTCTGTGGCCTACGTTGGCGGAAACCAACACTGGGCCTCATTTTCACCATGGGCTTGAGCTCTGCAGCAGACAGGAGCCCAGAGATGCATCCTTTCTCAGAGTCTGTAAGGAGTCCCCTCCTCCCTGGACCTCCAGAAGCTACATAGAACAGGGACCCTACCTGATCTATGGTCATATGGAGCACAATCAGAATCCCTTGCTTGGCCCCCATTTTCCAGGCTGAGGGATGACCCTTGAGGAGTGGGCCCACCCTCAATCCTTGTCCATTCCTTTGGGACTCAGTGTTGAGGATCTGGGGTCAGCTTCCTGGATAAACACAAGCCAAGGTTGCTGCCCCTTTGACCCTGATCCCTGTACTGTCCAGGCCCCCAGAAGAGCTGACATGGGGCTGTCTGACCAAATACCCACTCCATAGGTCCAGGGCTTTGAATCCAGAGTAGCCAGCTCCACCCACTGGCCAAATGCTGACCCGTCCTTGCCCCGTCCACTCCCTCCCAATTCTCAGAAGCTGCAGGGGGTGGGGGCACTCTGTCTGGTGGCATAGTGCTACAAATCCTTCCTCCTCCATGGCCTCTTCCTGCCATGGCCCCTCCCCAAGAGCAAACACACGTGGCTGTGCGGGGAGTAGACAGTGCCTTACATGGCCTAGGAACTGGGCACCGAGCCAAGGCCTTCTGCTACATAAGTGCAGGCCCCCAGGGAGCAAGTGCCTTGTCTCAGTCCCTCCTGCCTGCCCTCAGTGCTGCCCCCAGGATGGGCAGCAGGATCTGGCACTGGGCTCTGGTCTGGGCCTCTGTGGCCTTGCTCAAGGTGTGGCCAGCAGGTAAGGCCGAAGCCCCTTGCCCTCTAAAAACCGTCTTCCTGGAGAATTGACTTCTCCCTGGGGATCCTGAGATGGCAGGCACCTCTCACTGTCCCCAACACCACGGTCTCAGGCCTTGCAGTTCTCTGGGCTCTGGACCCTATGTCCCACACTCTAGCTGTGTCAGTAGCCTAAGGCCTGGCTTCGATGGAGGTGTCTGGAAGAAATTGGGTCCTACAAGCCTCGATGTATGAACCTTGGTGGAAACCCCACGTCAGTCTTGGCTTTGGAAGTGAACAGGAATGGGAGAGGAATGTGAGAGTCACAGAGGTCTTTTTTGAGTCAGAGAGGGCCATATCAGAATTAGCAGAGACAGAGACTTCTAGTTAGGACAGGCCTTGCTTCCCACCCCCCAACTGCTGGGGTCACAAGAACCAAGATGATCTTCACTGAGGCTGGGGCCTTCTTGGCGAGGTGGATTCTACCTCCAGATATTAGGACTGAAGCTAGATCAGATGGATATGATACCCAGAGCTGTAGTCTGAACCCAAGGCTGAGTCAGGTGGACTGTGGGACCCTTGTCAGCTGAGCTGTTTTCCTTGCCTGTTAGCCCTTGAGAAGGCTGCAGTACTAATACTGTCAACAGTATTGGAAAGATGGCCCCCACAGGGCTCAGCAGTAAGCAGGCAGAGCTGGCCTGAATCTCCAAGTGCCATGACCTCCCCAAGCTCTGCTCCCTAGACTAGGAGGCTGAGCAGGAGGAACCTCAGATCCAGGCTTCCTGTATCTGTGAGAGAAGACAGTGAGGGAGGGTGGTGTCCCCAAAGCCCATTCTGTGAGAGTCAAAGAGGCCTTGGCTGTCCCTCTTGCTTCCAAGGCTATCTGCTGGTGGGTAACTGCTCCCCTGGGCCATATCCCTCCATAATGTGGCTCTTCCTGTGTCAGGTCTTGTCCATCAGAGTGCTGAGCCTGCCTGGTGAACAGTCAGCCCTCCTTCCCCACTTACTTTACTCGAGAAGGGCAAAATGAAGCTCTGAGTTGGGGGAGTGTGGTTTTGTGACATCTGTGCTTGGGGTAAGGGTGAGAGTCTGGGCCCTCAAGTAAAGGGGATTTGGATCTTGTCTGGATGAGAAGCGGTAACCCAGACCAAGATGCTGTGATGGGTGGCTGACAACTCTCTAGCTAAGTGGAGACTGAGAGATCTCAGCCCAAGGGGGACTGGCATAGAGCCGCGGTGCTTGGGGTAGAGGGTATGGCAGAGGACAGGTTGGGCCAGGAACACTTGAGAGAGGCTTTGGATCTGGGGTTAGTAATGGACAGAGGGAGAGGCCATGCCCTCTGGGGAATGCAGTCAAGCGGGGCCCTTGAGGAAGGATTAATGCACAGGACGGTCCCTGCGGTTTCCAAATGTCAGCTGGACACGCTGGGAAAATCAAACAGGAAGCCGAGATGCCCATGGCACTGGGGCAAGTAGCCATCTGGGTCTAGGCCTGGGGGACATGGTCTCCTGTGAAGTGCTGGCCTTAAGGAGCCAGCAGGTTTTGGAGGCTTGAGCTGTGGAGGTTGAGGCTGTCTCCTGGGCCTCTAGCAGTTAGGCTGTGGAGGTGGCCGTGCCCAGAGGCAGTGGCTAATCCAGGCCACTGAGAGTGGACATCCTGCACCAAGACCTGAACCCCTCATCCAGGCTGGGGCTGCCTCTAATCACAGGTTTCTCTCTGCTCTGTCCCTCGTGACAACCTCTAATCGTGTCCCCCTAACAAAGCCAACCTTCTAAGGGACTCAAGCGATGGGGCTGACAGTCACCTCCCAACAGATGATCACTTGAGCCACTGGGAACATCTGCCCTACTCCTGGCAAGACCAGGTGTCACTCCATAGGTGCAGGTGGCAAGGGCCACTGCAGGGGAAGGACTGGTCTGGGAGGGCCAGAGCTCCTGAGGACACCTGGGTCTTTGGTGATGTTTAGTGACTGGAAAGTACTTACTACAGCTGATGGGGTTGGGATCCCCAGGCCCAAGTCTGTTCAGGTTTCTATAGATTACAAGAAGGCCTTGACCTGGAACGAGAGCCAGTCCATGGTCTGATGGCTTCTTGACTCATGTTCCTCTTTCCTGCAGAGATCCAGGGCCAGGTACAGCAGAGCTTGGAATACCCAGAATTCACCGGAGATGGTCAGAAAGCATATAACGGTATGTGGCTCGGGCTCTGGGTTGGGGAGTCATGTTCTGGTGGCAGGGGCAGTAGTGAGTGGGATGGGGCTCAGGTGGAACAGGCAGACAGTCTTCCCATACCAGTTATCACATGGAGACTCTTGACTAGTCCATTCTGCCTGAAGGCAGTGCTGGGCACACACAGACGGGAGCACCCCGGAGAGGAAGAACTCCTAGGCAGACAGGAGAAGGTTTCATGGAGAGGGTCCAGGGGTGACCATGGAGAGACTGAATAGCCTGGAATCAATCTATTAGTCCGGGGCTTCCTAATTTCCTTGAGGTGGCCATTGAAGAGGGTGGGTGGCCAGGGAGGATATCCACAGCCACATCCCCAGTGTGACCTGAACTTCCTCTTGCAGCTCCCACCTCCTCATCCACCCAGCACGTCACCTTCATCCCACCTATCACTGTCTTCCCTAGCATGAGCCGTAAGTGGAGAGTACCTACTGCCAGCCAGGCCAAGGAGTGTACGAGGGTGGGGGTGGGGGGGTAGGGATGGGGTGGGGGGTAGGGATGGGGTGGGTACGGACTTGACAGTCTGGTTGAAGCTGACATACGGTGGGGCCCCTGAACAGCTTTGAACAGGGTCTGGAACTTGCCCTGAGAACATCTGTTGACCACCTTGGGGTGTCTGGACTGCAGTAAATGAAAGGGAGAATGGATGGGTCTGGGTCTTCAGGTTTTATTCCAGCAGCTGAGGGAGTGGGATAGCAGAGAGCTGGCTCACATGACTGTGGGTAGCTGGCTTCCCTGCTCCAAACATTTTGCCTTGGCCCCAGGCTGTTGTCCCTTGGCTAACTGGGCATGGAGTGGTAGCATTCCGTGGTGACTCCATCTGGTTTCCCTGTAGCCTTGAATGTGGTACACAATGGAAGAGTGTGCAGCACATGGGGTGACTTCCACTATAAGACCTTCGATGGTGACATGTTCCACTTTCCTGGCCTCTGTAACTATGTCTTCTCTTCACACTGTGGGGCCACCTACGAGGACTTCAACATCCAACTGCGTCGTGGTCTGGAGGGTTCCAGGCCCATGGTCACCCATGTGGTCCTCAGGACCCAGGGGCTGGTGATTGAGCTGTCCAATGGCTCTGTCCTGGTGGACGGACGGTGGTGAGTTGGGCCTTGAGGAGAAGCATGTTCAAGCCAGGCCTTTAGACTTTACTCTGTTCCCACCTGTTGCTCTGGGGAGGGGTCAGGAGCAGAGCGAGTAGGGAAGACAGCCCCCTACTCATACCCTGCTGAAGGAAGACCAGAACTTTCTGCCTAGGGTGGAGCTACCCTACAGCCGTGCAGGTCTTCTGATGGAGAAGAGCAGTGGTTATGTGAAGGTCAGCATCCGGCTGGTCCTCACCTTCCTGTGGAATGAAGACAGTGCCCTGGTGAGGAGATTCACCCACAATTCCCTGCAGTCCCCCATAACATCATATAGGCCTTACACAGGCCCTTGCAGCCTTACCTAATCCCTCTCAGTTCCACAGACCCCCAGGCCCACCCCACATAGTCTCCTACAGCCTCCCATTCCACTCTATAATCCCACAGTTTCCATAGACTCCACAAGCTCCCCATAGATTTCATAAACTCCCAGGGTCACTCATGGCTTCCCACAGCCTATACAGCCTCCCCCATATCCTCACAGTTAACCCACATCCCCTTGCAGCTCTCCCACAACTCCTATAGTCCCTGGCCCTATTATAGGGATCCTACAGACTACTGGGGGAATATCTTCTCTGGTCCCCTGGGCAAGCGGGGTGGGAAGCTGCCAGATAGGCCCTGGAGCCAGAGCAGAAGCCCTGAGGCTGGAGTTGCTCTGTCTCACCCTCAGCTGGAGCTGGACTCCAAATATACCAACCAGACGTGTGGGCTGTGCGGTGACTTCAACGGACTCCCAGCTGTCAATGAGTTCTACGCCCACAGTGAGTGCCACTGAGTCTTCAGGCCAGGTGGTCCCAAGGGCCAGAGAATCAAGGAAGTCCAGGAGGGACATGGGGGTGTGGTGGTGTCGCAGAGACATTGAGGAGGGAAGTGTGTGTGTGTGTGTGTGTGTGTGTGTGTGTGTGTGTGTGTGTGTGTATGTGTGTGTGTGTGTGTTGTCTGTGTGTCTCTGTGTGTGTTCCAGACATTGAGGAGGGAAGTATGTGTGTGTGTGTGTGTGTGTGTGTGTGTGTGTGTGTGTGTACACATGTGTGTGTCATCTGTGTGTCTCTGTGTATATTCCAGATAGAGTCCCCTGATAGCCACCTCAGGAAGTCTGTCTCCTGACTGTGAGCTTTCTCTCCTGCAGACACCAGGTTGACCCCTGTGCAGTTCGGAAACCTGCAGAAGCTGGATGGTCCTACAGAGCAGTGCCAGGATACCTTGCCCTCAGCTGTCAACAACTGCACAGATAGGGTGAGCATCTTGATAATTCCACAGTTCCCAAGGCTGGGAACAGTGCAAGACCTACATTAACTGATGAAAGAGCAGAGAACTGCCTGGCCAATGGCTGAGGAACATCTTTCGGTGACCAGATAGAGAGGGCTTTCCAGCTCCTGAACAGTCAGGGAATGTTGCCTCTGAGCTCCCAGGAGGCTGCTGCTTGGGCCTGAAGGAGGCAGGCCAGGTTGGCTCTCCCCAGTGGGACCAAACGGATCGCAGTTTTGATGCAAGTCACAATTCATTCAGCAGAAAACACATATTCTCTGTGTGTAGGTGATGTATGTAGAGGGATTGTGTGCCCTACCACCATACAGACTGTCAAGGTGGACCCTCAAGGAGCCTCTTCTGTGAGCAGGAAGGACTTATCCTTTGGTTCTGATTCCAGAATCCCTGAACTAGCAGAATACCTGAGTCCACCTGAACTGTGAAATGAATGAGAATGTTGTCAACTCCTGGCCTCTCTGGGGGTGCTAGGGTAGGAAGATGTTGAGTAGCTGCCTGAGTCCATGGGGGCCACCTAAGGGTGGGTGTTATCTTTATTTCCCTCTCTTCTGAGCCACCACACAGGGGTGCATTCTGCATGCTCCTGGGTGCACAAGTCACAAGCCAGCATGTCTTGGAGGCCTTGAAGTAGAAGGTGGGAGGAACAGAGAGCCCTGGGTCACTCCCTCAGAGCCAAGTGGAGCTCTATACCCAGACATAGCACAGTATTTGGGTAGAATAATGTATAAGGAAGGTGGATGGATAATGGATGGATGGAAGGATGGATGGATGGATGGATGGATGGATGGATGGAGTAGGTGATTGATGGATGGATGGGTAGATGAGTGATGAATTAATGATAGATGAATGGCAGATGGATGGTGGATGGATGATGGGTAGATGATGGATGGATGGATGGATAGATGATGGACAGACAGACAGATGAATGAATGTGTGGGTGGAAGGAGCCTCCAGGGGAAGAAGGGGCTTCCTGCATGGCCCAGGAGGGACAGGGTCCCCATTACAAATTTCATGACAATCCTGCTTGAGGGTCAGAAAATGCTTAACTTCTCTGTGCTTGCCAGGAGGACATCTGTCGCCGTGTCCTGCTTGGCCCTGCCTTTGCCGAGTGCAATGCCCTGGTAGATGTCAACATGTACTTGGATGCCTGTGTCCAGGACTTGTGCCTCTGCCCCACATGCCCATGTGCCACTTTTGCTGAATATTCCCGCCAGTGTGCCCATGCAGGGGGCCATCCACAGAACTGGAGGAGTTCTGATCTGTGCAGTGAGTATCCTCACTAGAGTATAGCCCAGGGTCTTACTAAGGGCCAGCCTTGAGCTTTGAACCTGGCTGGGAAGTCAAGGTAGAGAGAGCCACTTAAGGGCCACTGAGAAAGGATGAATGTCAGGGAAAGAAGAGGTAGTGGGGAAGTTGGGGGTGAAGATGTGCTTGAGGGTTCTGGTGGACCTGTTGGTCCCAGAGGGGGGATCCAGCTGTGTTCTTGGGTACAGCAAGAAGATATTGCTCCAGAGCCTCAAGGTAGGCTCTCCTGGAGAACAGTGGCCTCAGGTGGCCATAGGCAGAGAAGGATGTGTGAGAAGTGTTGGGCCCCTGCTTTCTAGCCTACGGCTTTTACCTAGCAGGTGGCTTTCTGGGACCTCAGTGGACACAGGAGCAGGGAGTGGGCATGGCTCCCACTGACTGCAGAGGTCAGGATTCACTTCTCCTAGATCAAGTGCTGTCTTTGTTACAGACCAGACATGCCCTTTTAACATGGAATACCAGGAGTGCAGCTCGCCCTGTGTGGATACCTGCTCCAACCCCCAACGCTCCCAGCTCTGCGAGGACCACTGCATGGATGGCTGCTTCTGTCCCCCAGGCAGGCCCTGTGCCCGTTGCCCCCCACCTCCATGGCTACCTTTGGGTCATGGTTTCCACCTCAGCTGACCCTCTCCACTCCCAATGGCAGTGGGCCTGGCTAGGTGTTGTATCCTATGGTTAAGGGAAAGATGGAAACTGATTACTAACAAGGCAGAGATCTGACGATCTGCATACAGACAGAGAACAGGTGTCTTGAGTCCCTGAGGTCAAGTGGGGAAACTGAGGCCCAGAGGAGCTTATCCCAATCAGTTCAAACTGGGTCAGCATTCTAGACTAGGGGCCCTTCTTCCTGCCTAGGGCTGGGGTTGTCTTGGAGGCAAGCTGGCCCATGATACCTATACGGGGCGGTAGGGGGAGGGGTTGGCATCTGTATTCACCATCCCTTCCTCCAGGCACTGTGCTGGATGACATCAGACACTTGGGCTGTGTGGCCCTGGAGCAGTGCCACTGCACCCATGGTGGTCACACGTATGCCCCTGGAGAGTCCTTCAATACCAGCTGCAGCTCCTGGTAAGCTTAACAGCCTTGTGGAGGGAGGTATGCGGGGTGAGGCTTGCCTCTTCCCACTGTACCCCTTCTGCTCATGGACTTGCCCACAGCACCTGCTTCGGGGGATTGTGGCAGTGCCAGGACTTGCTGTGCCCCGCCACCTGCTCTGTGCAAGGCGGGTCCCACATCTTCACCTATGACGAGAAATTCTACAATGTGCATGGGGACTGCAGCTACATCCTGTCCAAGGTGCGGCCACAATCCCGGTCCATAGATAGCAGCTAGGGTCCCGTGAGGGTCCACAGCAGGAGTGAAGGCCGTGGTGAATGTCTATGCTGACAGGGAAGTCCCAGGTCCCATGACAAGCCACCTATGGTAAACCAGGGTACCTGAAGACACCTCCAGAACCCCTTCAGGTCTTGAGAAGTTGTGCCTAAGGGAACTCCGCACCCAACCACGCGTCTTGGGTTTCTTGACAGAAATGTGCAGATAGCAGCTTCACTGTGCTGGTCGATCTGCGGAAGTGTGGAGTGACGGATACTGAGAACTGCCTCAAAGCAGTCACACTCAACCTCAACAGTGGGGACATGGTGAGGACTGGGGCTCTGACTACCATCAAATTATGGGCTGCAAGTGACAAAGGTAGGGAAGCCTATGGAGTAGCGACAGGCCAGAGTAAAGAGAGGCCTCTACTCCCTCTCCAAGCCCCCAGGTAGGAGCAGCCACCACCCAGATGGAAAGAACCTACTGCGAGAGTGGGCCTGAGTTTCCTTCCTGGCTCTGACACCGGGTTGGGGGAGGGCATTCTGTCAGAATTCTTCCTATAAGTGGCTGGATGGGCCCTATGGGTACTGACTGTGTCCACCACATACCAGGTCATCCGGATCCAGGCCAATGGTGCCGTGTTCCTGAACTCCATCTTTACTCAGCTGCCCCTATCAGCAGGTGTGTGGCTCCCTGGGAGAACAAGCCAGGGCTGGCACCTTCAGTGGGCAGTCGTCTTTCAGCCCTTGGGTAGAGGCCAGCTCCTGGTGAGCTCTTTGTGGCCTCAGGCAACTCCAGTGTTTCCCATGGGGTGACAAGTTGCTACCCCTGGTTCTGTGGGAATCCTATGTCTAGCAGTGGCACTCATGCTCTATCAGGGACAGTTGGCAGTCCTTTATGATCCATGCACATTTAGGAGCTTTGGGCGTGCGATTTCTTAGGTGCCCCACCTCCTGTCCCAGCCAGCGCTGTCCTGATCGGTGGGCCAGCTCCCAGCATGTCTAACACCTCTCCCCTTACAGCCAATGTCACCATCTTTAGTCCATCGTCCTTCTTCATCATGGTGCACACAGGCATGGGGCTACAGCTGCAAGTGCAACTGGTGCCCATCATGCAGGTGTTTGTCAGCCTGGACCCCTCCTACCATGGCCAGATGTGTGGTGAGGCACCAGTGGGCTTGAGGGCGGGACTGTGGGGGGGTGCTGCTGGGGGTTGGGCCTGCCCTAGCTGTAGAATCCCCAACAGAAGGGAGTTGGGGGCATTGGCTCCAGGGCTCCGCCGAGACCCCAGCACCACCCAGCACACCTGACATCTAACCAGTAACCTGTGGAGTGGCCCCGGGAAGACAGATCTAGCTGTTAGGGGCTTATCTGTGGGTAGTTCTGGAGTCAAACACTAGGAAGGGACCTCCTTCCCCGTCCTCTTTTGATAGTGCTTAGAGGGGAGACAGCCCTGGGGAGAGTGGCCAGGTTGAATCACCTGCTGACCTCCTAACTCCGGTCCCTAGGCCTGTGCGGGAACTTCAACCAGAACCAGGCCGATGACTTCACAGCCCTCAGTGGGGTGGTGGAGGGCACAGGAGCTGCCTTCTCCAATACCTGGAAGACTCAAGTCTCCTGCCCCAATGCCAAGAACATCTTTGAGGACCCCTGCTCGTACAGCGTGGAGGCTGGTAACCACCTCCTCTGGTCTCTGGCCACCCTGACAGCCCTTTCCGACCTCTGGGGCCACATGAACCATGGGGGAAGGGCTCAGAGAACCCCTCTGTGGGCAGGAAGGCATGAGGGGTTAGGGTTGAAGGGGGACAGGCTCTGGGAAGCAGGTGAGGGGCAGCCCACATTTCTCCCTTCCCTAGAGAACTATGCCCAGGAGTGGTGCTCCATGCTCACCGAAAGCTCAGGCGTCTTCTCAGCCTGCCATGCCACCGTCAGCCCAGCAGCCTTCTACTCGGTAAGACCAGGGTCTCCTAGGCCTGGGTGGGCCCTTGAAGGCTGGACTCCCAAGGCCCTCCCACCACTACCCACTCTGGTGTTTACTTCTCAAAGGGTTCACCAACTGAGAAGCTAAAAAAAAAAAGAAGGTTCTGGGGGGCTCAGAAGGGTCCTTAAAAGTCTTAGTGTGTGTCCAACCTCATTCTTGCAAGGACTGGTGCTGGAGCATTGCCTTGTCTCCATGGGCTCCCCCTCAAAGGCCTCTTCCTATGTTGGTCCCATTCACACATGACAGAGCACTCAGAGTACCTTTTGGGGGACACACCTTAACCCTAAACAGCACTCCAAAGCCCTAAGCTTTAGTACATCACTCCATTTTCAAGGGTGAGTCTCCAGGTAACCCACTTCCATGACACCTTGCTGGACACATCCGCCTGAGCATCGCTGGCCTTTGTCTCAGTATTCCCTGCCCATTCCATCCAGGCCACCTATGTGCAGCCCAGTTAGGACAACACCTCAGATACAAGTTGAACCTGCCCTTGTCTTGTGGAGATTCTTCCCTAGAGCCCCTGCCTTAGACTTCAGGCCTTCCAGCTTCTATGCCCAGACCCCAGGTCTGTTCTCCATTCTGGCTGCCACTTTGCCCTGTGGCCTCTGACACTGTCCTTAACATGAATCCCAGGCCACTACTCTGAGACCCTGCTTGTGGTGGCTCCTGTGGGAAAGCCACAGGTCCAGGCCTTGATCAGGGTTTGGCTGATGTTGATGGGCAAGTCAAAAGAGCAATAAGGGACCCTAGGAGACAGAGGCACCTGACTTCCTGACATCTTGTCTCTCAGAACTGCATATTTGACACGTGTAACTGTGAGAAGAGCGAGGACTGCATGTGCGCAGCCCTGTCCTCCTACGTGCGTGCCTGTGCCGCCAAAGGCGTGCTGCTCAGTGGCTGGAGGGACGGCGTCTGCTGTGAGTATGCTGTGGGCCAGCTGGGCTCCTCATCACAGGTTACACCTCCCCACAGTAGCCACCTGGATCCTGTCACTCTGTCACAGGGGCACATGGGACCCTTGATAACAGGATCTACCAGTCTCCTGTCCCATGTCTACAAGAACCTTGCATTCTGTTGTGTCTACAATGGTGTCACCAATCTAAGGCAGGGAAGAACAAAGCCTGGGCCAGTTCACCCAGCCATTGATCTCGCTGTCCCCTGTTCTTCTTCCTACAGCCAAGTACATGAACAACTGTCCCCAAACCAAGAGCTACTCCTATGCTGTGAGTACTTGTGAGCCTACCTGCCGCTCTCTGAGTGAGGCCGACGTCACCTGTGGCATCTCCTTTGTGCCCGTGGATGGCTGCACCTGTCCTGAAGGCACCTTCCTGGATGACAAGGGTCACTGTGTGCCTGATGAGGAGTGCCCCTGTTTCTTCCATGGAACTGTGGTGGCTCCTAGAGAGTTTGTTACAGACAATGGTGTGGTGTGGTAAGGAAGACCACCCTCATCCATCCCTCATCCTCACAAACCTGTGCCAATGGGGTCGCTAGCTGCTGGTCCTTTTATATCCAGAAGTTTATGTGGCCTCCTCATTGATGGTTTCAAGACATACTTGGGGCATGCTGGGTGTTGGGGGCACCCTTCAGATCCCCTGAGAAATAGCAGGTTATTCTGAGGGTCCTATGATATCAGGGCAGAAGTGCTGACAAGCAGTTCTCAGCTGAGGTCCTACTCCCTCCTTGGCCTCAAAGGCAATTCCTTACAACTCACAGTGTAAGCGAGCTTTCTATTACTGTAACAAAAGCCTGAGACAAGACAGAGAGAGGTCTGTCTTGGCTCACAGTTCTGGAGGTTCAGCCCGTGACAGCATATGACTGAGTGGTCCCATGGCTTTGGGCCTGTTGCAAGGCAGCACTTCATGATGGAAGATTGTGGAAAACAAAACTCACCTCACAGCAAGAAAGAGAGAGTGAGCAGGATAGCATTAAGGTCCCACTGTCCCCTTCAATGACCTAACTTCTTCCCAGTTGGCCTTACTTCTTAAGGGCACTACCACCTTCTAGTATTAGCATAGGCTGGTGACTAAACCTTTAATGTGTGGGAATGTGGGGTTCAGGGTCTTCCCAAGGACCCCCAACAGCAAGCACCCTCTGGATGTTGGGAGGAGGCAAGGAGGCCCAGACCTTGGTCGGCTTAGAGCAGGGGCACTACTTTATCTTCTAGCTCATGTGAAAATGGGAAGTTGACCTGTCTTGGAGCCCTGATGCAGAGGAGCACAGGTAATATATTCCACCCTGACCAGCCTGTACTTTGCCATGGCTGCTGTGCCAAGATGCTCTAGGGGAGGAGGACCCATGGGTTTTCTGGCAGTGTGGCCATAGAGCTCTTGGGGCTGTGGACTATACCCTCCTGGGGCAGGTCCACATAGCCTGGATGCTTGGGACATAGCTTAAAGCCATGTAAGACCCAAGCTTGCTACAATTTGAGCAGCAAGACAGAGTCAGAAGACTGTAGGGACCAGGAGCGTCCTGTTCCAGGCCTCTCTCACCTGGTTTTTCTCCTCAGAGTGCCAGGCGCCTATGGTATATCTAGACTGTAACAACGCCTCAGTGGGTGACCAAGGGGCTGAATGCCTCAGAAGCTGCCACACACTGGACGTGGATTGTGTGAGTCCCCTTGGTTGCAACAGCAACCTTCATCCATCATCCTAAACTACAGAGAGATTCGGGGGTGGGGGAGAATGTCACTGGAAGGCCAGTGGCTTTGGGTCTTGCTGACCCTGGATGGCCTCCTCCTGGGCACTCCCAGGACAGGGTCTACTTGCTTGGTTCCTGGGCACCTGAATAGGGATGAGGGAACAGGCTATTGCTTCAGTCCCTGACTAGGCTACCTGTGCCCACAGTTCAGCACACACTGTGTCTCGGGCTGTGTATGTCCCTCAGGGCTGGTAGCAGATGGGAATGGGGGCTGCATTGCTGAGGAGGACTGCCCCTGCGTACACAATGAGGCCACCTACAGACCTGGGGAGATCATCCGGGTAGACTGCAATAACTGGTAGGTTTGGGGACCCTCAGAGGGGGTCAGGAGGTATCTACAGGGACACTGCTCTGAGTTGGCCTTGGTGTTTCAGAGGCCTCAGCATGTGTCTTGGGGGCCAAGATTCTCATCAGACCCCATTCTGTGGAAGAGAGGCTGTTTCTCCAGCCGGGGGTGATTGGATGCATACCCACACAACACCAAAGCTTGATGTACTCTGAGCTTAATTCCCCAAGTGAAGTGGCCTGCTAGCACAGGACTGGTACAGCCAGTCTCAGAGGATGATACCCTTGTCAGCAATGATCTCTCCTTTCACAGTACCTGCAGGAACCGCCGGTGGGAGTGTACGAATCAGCCCTGTATGGGTGCATGTGTGGCCTATGGGGATGGCCATTTTGTCACCTTTGATGGTGAACGCTACATCTTTGAAGGCAGCTGCGAGTATACCTTAGCTCAGGTGTGTAGTCTCTGCCCCCTCCCACCATGTCACCCATCTCTGTTCTTCCCACCACTTATTTTTGAGCTGTGACCAGAGCCTCATCTTTTCCCTTCTCAGGACTACTGCAGAGGCAACACCAGTACTGATGGGACCTTCCGTATTGTCACTGAGAATGTCCCTTGTGGGACCACAGGAACCACCTGCTCCAAGGCCATCAAGATCTTTGTGGAGGTGAGAGTATACTTGTAGCCACTGGGGACTGCTGCCCTCCCTCTGCAGCTCCACCTCTGGTTCTCCATAAGTTATTCTCAAGGACAGGATAGCAAGTGACTCAAACCTACGACTTACGATAGCAGACTACCATCTCCCATCCTTGAACCAGAGTTAGATCAAGGCAAGCGGGATCATGCTCCCTGCAGCTCAGGAGGATCCTTGCTGCCTTTCTGGACTAGGGGTTCCAGCAGTCCTTGGTTTGTGGCAGCATCACTCCAGTCTGCCTCTGTCTGTTCATGACCTTCTGCTCTGTGTCTGTATGTCTCTGGTCATTGTAAGGGCAGTCACTGGGCTTAGGGGACACCCAGGTAATTTAGAAAACCTATCTCAAGATCCTCCAAAGGCTCTTTTTCTAGTAAAGTGTTATTTTAAAGTCCTGGGAATTATGGGTATATTTGGGAGTGATATTACACTCAGTACTTCTGGCAAAGAGAAGTCAGAATTCACAGAGCACAAAGCAGAGCTGCTGACTTGGGATGTGTCTTAGTTAGGGTTTCTATTGTGCAATAAAACACCATGAGCAAAAAGCAAGTTAGGGAGGAAAGGATTTATTTGGCTTATACTTCCAGATCATAGTCCCTCACTGGAGGAAGTCAGGACAGGAACTCAAGCAGGGCAGGAACCTGGAGGCAAGAGCTGATGCAGAAGTCATGGAGGGGTGTTGCTTATTGGCTTGCTTCCCATGGCTTGCTCAGCCTGCTTTTTATAGAACCCAGAACATAGTCCAGGGACAGTACCGCCCACAATGGGCTGGGCCATCCCCCATTGATCACTAGCTGAGAAAATGCCTTACAGCTGGATCTCACGGAGGCATTTCCTCAACTGAGGCTCCTTCCTCTCTGATGACTCTAGCTTGTGTCAAGTTGACACAAAATCAGCCAGTACAAGATGCATCCCCTTCAGAGTCAAGGAAGGCTGCAGCAGAGGTGGGTGGGGGATGATATAAGGTAGCATTGCACATATGAGCCTTTGGAGATCTGTAGGTGTATGGCCTGACTTTCCCCATTTCTCACACAGTGAGTTTTCATGTTGAGGAGTCCTCCACGGGTAGCAAGCAACCTTCTGATGTCCCAGCTCCCTGAAACTGTTGCCCTGTTTTTCTCCATCTGCAGAGCTATGAGCTGATTCTTCATGAGGGGAACTTCAAAGTGGTAGAGAGAGGGTCAAGTGGGGAACTTCCATACAAGATCAGATACATGGGTATCTTCCTGGTCATTGAGATCCGCAGTGGGATAGTCGTGTCCTGGGACAGGAAGACCAGTGTGTTTGTCCGACTGCAGCAGCATTACAAGGCAAGTGTGGCCACCATGCACCCTGCTTCTAGGCCCAGCTAGGATAGGTCTAGGGCTGGCAGCTGACAAGGCTGCTGAGGGATGGATCACATTGAAAAGCTCTAGTCACTGAGACCACACACAACACCAGGTTCCAAGAGGGATGGCTTGAAATTGCAATGAATAATGAGTATACTGGAATCATGACTGATGAACCAGCCGTACCCACAGGCCTGTGCAGAGACAGAATCTTCTAAATAGAATAAGTTCAATTCACTCACCTGTCCCAGGACCCACTTCCCACACCCATTTGCAAATTCACCGGGTACAACTCAGTGGAAATGGGTTCTCCCTGTGTTTTGCTCCCAAGCCGGGCTCTGTACACCTCAGCTAACCTGCCCAGGATTCTCTCCCCTCATGTGTCTGCAGGGCAGGGTCTGTGGCCTGTGTGGGAACTTCGATGACAATGCCATCAATGACTTCACCACACGCAGCCAGTCCGTGGTGGGCGATGTGCTGGAGTTTGGAAATAGCTGGAAGTTCTCGCCATCCTGCCCAGATGCCCCAGTTCCCAAGGACCCCTGCACTGCCAACCCTTACCGCAAGTCCTGGGCCCAGAAGAAGTGCAGCATCATTAACAGTGCGACCTTTGCTGCCTGCCACTCCCAGGTAGAGCCTAGCTTTGGTTCACAGGGCTTGCAGTTGCCTGCTTCTTCCTGGTAGGAATTGAGTCTTGCTTGACTAGACACAGTGGGCCTCTGAGGACCGTCTTGATCCAGTCAGAGCACATGGTCCATGGCCCTGGGTTTTCAAGTTCTAGGTCTAAATCTCCCACAAGATGGGTAAGAATTCATGCATATATCCCAGCATGGAGTCATCACCACTATTTTGGGACCAGTCCTTGATTACAGTATTCATCCATGGCTCTCAGTGAGGCAGGCACCTTCTTCATCCTCCTGGGTGACCCCCAGACCTGCTCAGTGTGCATCAGGAACATCAGCAGAACTCTCCCAGAGGAAGTAGTAACTGGCTCTCAGTAGATTTCCAAAGGCTACCTCCTGTTACTAAAACCGAGACTCAAGTGTCCACCTCCTAGGAAAGTGGCTTTACAACACAGGCCTGCTGGCCATGACCAGAATGTGCTCATGCAGGGTCACGGTAGCCAGTGCTATTCACTTGTGCTGAGCCCCCCAGGTCACACAGTCAACCTCACGAGCAGGTGGCCAGCAGTCTCTCTGGCTATCCTGCTCCATGGCTTGGTTCATTGTGGCCTGACAAGGGTGACTTGGATGTGCCTTCAGTGGTAAAAGCAAGAACTTGAGTCCACTCTGGATTCTGCCAGTTGACACAGTGTGAGTGGTGGGCCCTCTCCTCTACAGAACTAGACTACTCTCCCATGTTGGAGCTGGTTAACTCCAGCTCCTCCATGTCCCACAGCTGCACCAGTCTGGAAGTTAAACAATGTTGGATGATATAGTTATCACTCACTATTTCCTTGGGACATGTTCTCAGGGATATGGAAGTTTAGATGGGTTCTGGGTACCAGCTAATTTAAATGGATGGGAAAAAAATTCCTGTCTCCTAGTTATCCTCCACTGGAGTGAGGCAGCAGGGTGGCCAGGGAGGGGTTCACGCCAAAAAGCCAAATAGAGAGCTACTAGAAGTCCTGGGAACAGCAAATCAGGGGACAAGTCAGATAAGGAAAGGCCGATACAGGACGGGGGCCAGTGCGCTGAAGCAAGAGTACAAGAACAGAAGTGGGACCACAGTGCAATGCCCTGCAGGTATGAAACCTGTGGTGGGCGACGTGCTGGAGTTTGGAAATAGCTGGAGGTTCTCCCCATCTTGCCCAGATGCCCCAGTTCCCATATGACCAGATCCAAGTGAAAGGATCCAAAGACTATTAGTGAAGGTGTCCAGGTGGGCAGGTGCACATGTGAAAGTGGGGCAGATGTGTAGGCATGCAGTTGTATGGGTGAGTATGCAGGTAGGCACACAGGCAGGCAGGTAGATATTTGTGCAGGTGTAGGTAGGCAGCTACAGTGTTGTGCAGATGCGCAGCTGTGCAAGCAGACAGATGGATGGGTGCACATAAAGGACAGGAGGGAAAGCGCACAGGTCAACAGACAGGCAGATAGACAAGTAGGTAGGCAGGTGCACATACAGACAGATGTGAAGGTTCCCAGGGAGGCATGTGCACAGGTGGGCAGGTACACAGTTTTCCAGGTGTGCAGGTGCACAGATGTGCAGCTGTACAGGCAGATGGGGGTATGCAGGTGTGCAGATAGACATAAAGGCAAGTTCACAGGCAGCCAGATAGATAGTTATACATATGGACAGATATGCAGCTATATATTCAGGCAGGTATACAAGCTGTCAGGTGAGCAGGTATGCACAAGTGTGTGGGTGCACTAGTGAATAGGAAAGGTAGTGTTGAACAGTTCCCATTTGGGACACTCTAATAGTAGCCACAGTACCAGATCAAGATTCCCATGGTGTGGGGTTTGGACTATAGCTAACTCCATATCCGCCCCCACATTCACCTACCTCCTGGGCAGACATGGCTGTCCTCCCTGAGTGGCACTTTGTCCCCACCATTCTAGGTTGACTCTACCAAGTACTATGAAGCCTGTGTGCATGATGTGTGTGCCTGTGACTCAGGGGGTGACTGTGAGTGTTTCTGCACTGCTGTGGCTGCCTATGCCCAGGCCTGCCAAGATATGGGTGTGTGCTTGTCCTGGAGAACACCAGACATCTGCCGTGAGTAGAGCTCTGTCCATGGTACTGAAGGGTGGGACTGTGAATGAGGTGGGTGGCAGCCTCTGTACTTCCCTCCTGGCTTGGGTTCTGCTCTCTCTCTCTCTCTCTCTCTCTCTCTCTCTCTCTCTCTCTCTCTCTCTCTCTCTCTCTCTCTCTCTCTCTCTCTCTCTCTCTCTCTCTCGTGTGTGTACATGTGTACACACATCTATATATACATGTGGGTTTTTGACACCTGTTATGAGGTAGTTGAGGACGGGGACCGCAGGATCTGGGTTAGGGAATGAACCCAAGGAAACCATCTGCCTAGCCCAAGGCTGATATGTCTGGGTGTAATCCAGCATGAGGCCTAGTAGGCACCTGTTTAGCTCTGTCCTCTGTGTTCAGCTCTTTTCTGTGACTACTACAACCCTCACGGGGAGTGTGAGTGGCATTACCAGCCCTGTGGAGCCCCCTGTCTGAAGACCTGTCGAAACCCTGCTGGACACTGCCTTGTTGAACTGCCAGGCCTGGAAGGTGAGGGTGAAATGTTCTGGTAGTGGCCTTCGGGCCCATAACCCATGCATGGTACCACTAGGGCAGACACAGTGTACTAGGGGTTCTCTGCCACTGAGTGGGAGCTGGGCAGCTGGATACATGCCCAAGAGGATAGAAAGTCAGTGATACCCTTGTCTGCTCTAGGCTGCTACCCACAATGCCCACCTAGCCATCCCTTCTTCAATGAGGACCAGATGAAGTGTGTGGCCCAGTGTGGATGCTATGATGATGATGGAAACTACCACGACATTGGCACAGAGGTCCCTACAGCTGAGAACTGCCAGAGTTGGTGAGAGAGGAGCTAGGGATGGAAGAGGATAGAGACCCAGAGTGGTTGGGACAGGGCAGGGGCGGGCTAAAGCATGTGTCAGCTAGGGGGTGCTCATGGTCCTCAGAGCCCTGTCTTCCCTCCAGTCTCTGCACCCCTGGTGGCCTCAGCTGTGTTCACAACCTTACAGGTAAGCAAAGGCTGTGGGTTTGGGGTTGGAGGAAGGCTGAATGCTGAGTAAGCTGAGCCAATACATATAACCCCCAGCCTGCACATGCATCTACGAGGGCCGTACCTACCACTTCAATGATGTTGTCTACAACACCACGGATGGCCTTGGTGCATGCTTAGTGGCCATCTGCAAAGACAATGGGACTATAATACGCACAGCTGAAGAGTGCCCTGAAGTCTTGTCTACCACACCATTTACATTCACCAGTACCTTGGCACCCAGTGCCACAACAGGTAAGACCATACCAGGTTCTCTGGAAGCCCCTGAGCTCTAAGCTATTATGTTAACCCAGGGAGAGGCTTGGCCACATCTAGGACAAAGGAAGATGATAAGTTGTCGATGCAGGGAACTCCAGCTACAGAGGTGTCTTGAGCCCTGAGCCACTGTCCACTTGCCCAGACCCTGCCTGGGGTCCATGGCCCTCACCCCTCTATGATTCCCCGGGAAGCCTTAGCACAACTGGCAGGGCTGCTATCAGGGGCCACAGAAATCCTCAGGTTCCATTTGTCCTTGGTGTGAACCACTTCAGTCAGTGAGCTCTCTCCAGACTACCAGCTAGGTCCTGGAACAGGTCAGGAACGTTGTGTGAACGTGAAGACTCATCTGTTCCCTCACCCTGAGACAAGAGGGGCTGAGCGGGGCCTTTATCTCTTTCACACAGGCTCAGCTTTCACTGTGTCCACTGTGTCCACTGTGTGTGTCCGGGAGGTCTGCCACTGGTCCATTTGGTATGATCAGAGCTATCCAGAGCCTGGCATGGCAGGTGGGGACTTTGAAACATTTGAGGACCTGAGGCGCAAAGGGTACCAGGTGTGTCAAACCCCTGCTGCCATTGAGTGCCGTGCCAAGAAGTTCCCCAGCACGGACTTACGGGAGCTGGGTCAGAAGGTGAACTGTGACCCTTCCTGGGGACTGAAATGCCTCAACAGTGAGCAGAACCCCCCACTCTGCTACAACTATGAGCTGAGGGTTCTGTGTTGTGAATATGTACCGTGTAGTTCCCCCCTGACCTCAGGCGGAAGTACCACTCACTCCCAGCCTGAGACCGGTACTCAGACAACATCCGCAGTATCTAAGTCCACACCCTCCAGGACCACAGAAAGGAATGAGATATCCCTGAATACGACTCACAACTCAAGGAAAACAGTGGCAGTCACCTCAAAAGGAAGAACAACTTCACAATCCACTGTGTTGAGACACTCAGTCAGCAGCCTCCCCATGACCAGCCCTACATGGACTACAATAGTGACAGGAACCACCTTGCACACAACACTTAGTTCCCAGCCAACATCAGTATTCGCCTCACAGACAGGGTCCACTTCAACAGCCAGTGTGGTCACACAGTCAGTCAGCAGTCCCGGGACCTCCACCACCTGCCAGCCCCGATGCCAGTGGACAAAGTGGTTCGATACAGACTACCCCAAGTCTGACAAAGAGGGAGGAGACATTGAGACATATGACAGGATCAGAGCCGCCGGGGCAGATATCTGTGAACAGCCTCGGGACATCCAGTGTGTGGCCCAGAACTACCCCGATATCAGCCTGGACCTGTTGGATCAGGAAGTGAAGTGTGACGTCAACTTCGGTCTGGTGTGTCACAACAAGGACCAGCAACATGAATTTGGGATGTGCTTCAACTACATGATCCGTGTGCTGTGCTGCAGTGACAGCCACTGCCAGGGACCGACCACCACGGCAGGGTCTCCCCCTACACCAGGAACTGCCACCTCTGCCACTCAGACCCTGTCCTCCAAGCCTTATCCCAGCACTAGTCCAATTGAGACCTGGTCTCCCTCAGGCTCCACCACCAGCATCCATGCCTCAGAGATGCCCACCCCTGGGATTCTGGATAAAAGTGTGTCATCCCCAGCCAGCACTACTTTGACAGTCACCTCGAAGACAACTCAGCCTCCCAAGAGCCCAGAGTCCTCTGGCATTGTCAGCAGCCCCGGGACCTCCACCACCTGCCAGCCCCGATGCCAGTGGACAAAGTGGTTTGATACAGACTACCCCAGGTCTGACAGAGAGGGAGGGGACATTGAGACATATGACAGGATCAGAGCCGCCGGGGCAGATATCTGTGAACAGCCTCGGGACATCCAGTGTGTGGCCCAGAACTACCCCGATATCAGCCTGGACCTGTTGGATCAGGAAGTGAAATGTGACGTCAACTTCGGTCTGGTGTGTCACAACAGGGACCAGCAACATGAATTTGGGATGTGCTTCAACTACATGATCCGTGTGCTGTGCTGCAGTGACAGCCACTGCCAGGGACCGACCACCACGGCAGGGTCTCCCCCTACACCAGGAACTGCCACCTCTGCTACTTCCAGGTCAGTCACACATACTTCGTGGCCTGTATCCAACATGCCTACCAGCACCAGCACCACAGAGTCTATTTCTTCCCCCAGAAAAACCACTGGCCTCACCATGGCTTCTTCCACAGCCACATCCAGGGAGACCCAAACCTCATCACGGCTAACCACTGGTCTCTCCTCAGCCCTTACAACCAGGAGGACCTCTTCTACAGGCTGTAAGTTTCAATGCACCTGGACAGATTGGCTGGACAGTGACAAACCCCAACCTGGTCACTTTGGGGGAGACATTGAGACCTACTATCATATTAGAAACAAGACAGGTATCCAGATATGCGAGAAACCTGTGGACATTGAATGTGAAGCCATCCTCTTCCCCAACATGTCCTTCCAGCAGCTGGGCCAGGAGGTGGTTTGTAATGTGGACTTTGGACTCATCTGCAGGAACAGCAAACAGGCCAAAAACCAAACCTGTTTCAACTACCATATCCGTGTGCTCTGCTGTGAGGAAGACATCAGCTGTTTCAGCACAACTGGGTCACTCTCTACCACCTCCAGCCAAGTCAGCAAGTCATACTCCTCTACCTCCCTGACCTCACCTGGACCATCCTATTCTCCTCCTGGAAGCACCACCATGAGCTCAGCCACAGCTGCCTCCACCACCAAAGCTACCACCTCCTTAAAGAGTGAAAAAAGCACGATGACCAACACTGTCCACACAGGAGCTGCACCTTCCACACACTCAGTCAGCAGTCCCGGGACCTCCACCACCTGCCAGCCCCGATGCCAGTGGACAAAGTGGTTTGATACAGACTACCCCAAGTCTGACAGAGAGGGAGGAGACATTGAGACATATGACAGGATCAGAGCCGCCGGGGCAGATATCTGTGAACAGCCTCGGGACATCCAGTGTGTGGCCCAGAACTACCCCGATATCAGCCTGGACCTGTTGGATCAGGAAGTGAAGTGTGATGTCAACTTCGGTCTGGTGTGTCACAACAAGGACCAGCAACATGAATTTGGGATGTGCTTCAACTACATGATCCGTGTGCTGTGCTGCAGTGACAGCCACTGCCAGGGACCGACCACCACGGCAGGGTCTCCCCCTACACCAGGAACTGCCACCTCTGCCACTCAGACCCTGTCCTCCAAGCCTTATCCCAGCACTAGTCCAATTGAGACCTGGTCTCCCTCAGGCTCCACCACCAGCATCCATGCCTCAGAGATGCCCACCCCTGGGATTCTGGATAAAAGTGTGTCATCCCCAGCCAGCACTACTTTGACAGTCACCTCGAAGACAACTCAGCCTCCCAAGAGCCCAGAGTCCTCTGGCATTGTCAGCAGCCCCGGGACCTCCACCACCTGCCAGCCCCGATGCCAGTGGACAAAGTGGTTTGATACAGACTACCCCAGGTCTGACAGAGAGGGAGGGGACATTGAGACATATGACAGGATCAGAGCCGCCGGGGCAGATATCTGTGAACAGCCTCGGGACATCCAGTGTGTGGCCCAGAACTACCCCGATATCAGCCTGGACCTGTTGGATCAGGAAGTGAAGTGTGATGTCAACTTCGGTCTGGTGTGTCACAACAAGGACCAGCAACACGAATTTGGGATGTGCTTCAACTACATGATCCGTGTGCTGTGCTGCAGTGACAGCCACTGCCAGGGACCGACCACCACAGCAGGGTCTCCCCCTACACCAGGAACTGCCACCACTGCCACTCAGACCCTGTCCTCCAAGCCTTATCCCAGCACTAGTCCAATTGAGACCTGGTCTCCCTCAGGCTCCACCACCAGCATCCATGCCTCAGAGATGCCCACCCCTGGGATTCTGGATAAAAGTGTGTCATCCCCAGCCAGCACTACTTTGACAGTCACCTCAAAGACAACTCAGCCTCCCAAGAGCCCAGAATCCTCTGGCATTGTCAGCAGCCCCGGGACCTCCACCACCTGCCAGCCCCGATGCCAGTGGACAAAGTGGTTTGATACAGACTACCCCACGTCTGACAAAGAGGGAGGGGACATTGAGACATATGACAGGATCAGAGCCGCTGGGGCAGATATCTGTGAACAGCCTCAGGATATCCAGTGTGTGGCCCAGAACTACCCCGATATCAGCCTGGACCTGTTGGATCAGGAAGTGAAGTGTGATGTCAACTTCGGTCTGGTGTGTCACAACAAGGACCAGCAACATGAATTTGGGATGTGCTTCAACTACATGATCCGTGTGCTGTGCTGCAGTGACAGCCACTGCCAGGAACCGACCACCACTCCAGGGTCTCCCCCTACACCAGGAACTGCCACCTCTGCCACTCAGACCCTGTCCTCCATTCCTCAGCCCAACACTACTCTGACTGTGACCAGGACTCACTCAGCTCCCACCACAGTAGCAACAAGCCTCCTAAAAACTCTCCCAGGCTCTAGTCACACAGTCACTCTTGTTACATCCTCTGGCAGTAGTCCCCCACATGTTTCTAATGTCAAGGAAACCAGCATCCCAGGAAAGGTTTCCTCTATCCATACAACAGTCAACATCCTGCCTAAAACATTACAGTCTTCGACTCCTGCCTTGACAACAAAACAAACTTCCTCAACTGAAATCTGGACAACAATACTTACTGGTACAGCTGGTACTGGCTCCTCAAAACCCCCACCCACGAGCCTGGGGTTGACTACAGGCATAAAAGAGCTGTCTACCAGTCCACCAAGGACACAGACACTACCAGTCCCTGCGACTAATGCCACCACCAGCCAGGGCACAACCCGCTGCCAGCCCAAGTGTAAGTGGACTGAATGGTTTGATGTGGACTCACCAACCTCAGGAGCAGTAAGAGGGGACATGGAGACCTATGAAAACATCAGAGCTTCTGGTAAGAAGATATGCCAGACACCAGAGAAGATTGAGTGTCAGGCAGAGAACTACCCTGCAGTGAGCATTGATAAGATTGGCCAAGTAGTAAGCTGTAACCTGGAGACAGGACTGGTCTGTAAAAATGAGGACCAGACAGATGATTTCAAAATGTGCTTCAACTATAATATACGTGTGCTTTGCTGTGACGACTATAGCAACTGCCCTACCACAACTGCTGTACCACCTACATCCACCATGAACAGCCCTAAAGTCAGCAGCGAGGTCTCCACCATGGCCACCAGTCCATCAGCAAGACAAGGACACTCCACCAAAGCTACCACCTCCTTAAAGAGTGAAAAAAGCATGATGACCAACACTATCCACACAGGAGCTGCACCTTCCACACACTCAGTCAGCAGTCCCGGGACCTCCACCACCTGCCAGCCCCGATGCCAGTGGACAAAGTGGTTTGATACAGACTACCCCAGGTCTGACAGAGAGGGAGGGGACATTGAGACATATGACAGGATCAGAGCCGCCGGGGCAGATATCTGTGAACAGCCTCGGGACATCCAGTGTGTGGCCCAGAACTACCCCGATATCAGCCTGGACTTGTTGGATCAGGAAGTGAAGTGTGACGTCAACTTCGGTCTGGTGTGTCACAACAAGGACCAGCAACATGAATTTGGGATGTGCTTCAACTACATGATCCGTGTGCTGTGCTGCAGTGACAGCCACTGCCAGGGACCGACCACCACGGCAGGGTCTCCCCCTACACCAGGAACTGCCACCTCTGCCACTCAGACCCTGTCCTCCAAGCCTTATCCCAGCACTAGTCCAATTGAGACCTGGTCTCCCTCAGGCTCCACCACCAGCATCCATGCCTCAGAGATGCCCACCCCTGGGATTCTGGATAAAAGTGTGTCATCCCCAGCCAGCACTACTTTGACAGTCACCTCAAAGACAACTCAGCCTCCCAAGAGCCCAGAATCCTCTGGCATTGTCAGCAGCCCCGGGACCTCCACCACCTGCCAGCCCCGATGCCAGTGGACAAAGTGGTTCGATACAGACTACCCCAGGTCTGACAGAGAGGGAGGGGACATTGAGACATATGACAGGATCAGAGCCGCTGGGGCAGATATCTGTGAACAGCCTCGGGACATCCAGTGTGTGGCCCAGAACTACCCCGATATCAGCCTGGACCTGTTGGATCAGGAAGTGAAGTGTGACGTCAACTTCGGTCTGGTATGTCACAACAGGGACCAGCAACACGAATTTGGGATGTGCTTCAACTACATGATCCGTGTGCTGTGCTGCAGTGACAGCCACTGTCCTAGGACCCCTTCCAGCACCACAAAGTCAACTCTGCCCTGGTCTACCCACACTCCCCTGGTCCCTTTCACAATCACATCAAGCACGGAGTCCACCTTTCAGACCAAGCATCCCTTCAGCTCCCCCGTACCAAGTACTCAAGCATCCACATGGACCACATATCCTGACTCAGGCTGTGTACCTCAGTGCACGTGGACAGAATGGTTCGATGCGGACTTCCCTAACCCTGGCCCCAGAGGCGGGGACTTTGAGGTCTACGCAGTGTTACGGGAAGTTGGTTTTGTCTTCTGTGAGCAGCCCAAGGACATCCAGTGCCGCTCTGAGAATGAGCCAGACAGGCCCTTGGAAACTCTAGAGCAGGTGGTCCAGTGTGATGTGCGATTTGGGCTGATATGCAAGAATATCAACCAAACGGGACCTTTGCAATACTGTGACAACTACCATGTGCGCTTCCTCTGCTGTGACAATGTCAGCCACTGTACCACCTCACCTATGGCCACCCTCTCCACTGTTCCTTCTTCCTCTCCCCTGCTGTCCACTCATGCTTCCCCAACCTCGAACACTATGACTTCTTCACCTGTGGTCCCTAGCTCTACTCACACCTCTCCAGTTTTGACCACCGGGACTTCATCTGTAGCCACGGGCCCCACTGTGGCCCCCTCCTCTACTTCCAAGACCACTCACCCCCCTGAAGTTTCCCCCAGCAGCCAGGTGACCTTCAGCCTGTCTACTGCTTCTCCCTTGGGCCCTAGTACCCTCAGGCCTACTGTCCTTTCCAGCCGACCATTTTCCCCATCACCCTGTTTCTGCCAGGCATTTGGACAGCTGTTCTTACCTGGTGAGTAGAAAAGTCCATGTTCTCCCTACCCCATGCCCCTTGTCCACCCGGATTTGTCAGCCTTGGGAGCTATGGGCCATTTCATGCATGCAAAGTTCAGCCCATGCCCTCTCTGGGCATTCCTTCTCCCTCAGGCAGCTGCCCTCCTACCCTATGTCTTCCCCTGACACCACCCTGCCTCTTCAGCTGGGGTATGGCATTTTGTTTCTTTGTTTGTTTCCTTCTACAGGAGAGGTCATTTACAATAAGACTGATGGAGCTGGCTGCCAATTGTACGCCACCTGCAACCAGTACTGTGATGTTGACCGCTTCCAGGGTGCCTGCCCCTCCTCTTCACCTCCAGCGCCCTCGACCTCTGCATCTTTGCCTCCCCCGCTTCCTGGATGTGATGATGCCACTCCTCCCCGGCAGGTGAGCCTCTCTTCTCCCTCCACCTCCCTGTGATGTGGTATGGATTTGGGTTCTCAAGGACAACTGCATCTGGATTGAGTCATGGCTAGTGCTCAGCACTACCTCAACCCTGTAGCCTATCTCAGTGACCTGTCTTCCAGTGGCTCCTATTGAGAGAGGCACAGGGGATCTCGGGTCTTGATCAGCAGAAGCTGGCTGCCTTCTGGGATTCATAGCTGTAGGGACCTGGGGCTACATAAAGGGCAGGGCTTGGGTCTCCACATGATCTCAAGGTGAACACCCTGCACATCTTCTGCCTCAGGTGAATGAGTCCTGGACCCTGGAGAACTGCACAGTGGCCAGGTGCCAGGGAAATAACCAAATCATCCTCCTAGAGCCGGAGCCTGTGGACAATGTCACCTGTGCCAACAAGCACTTGCCCATCCAAGTGTGGGACCAGGAGCCTTGCCATTTCCACTATGAGTGTGAATGTGAGCCGAGGGCAGGCGCGGAAGAGCTCAGCAAGATGGGACAGGATTGAGGCATTTTATCTCAGTGCCTGTCAATCTCAGACAGCACATGTAAATGCTATGCTAGCCCGCAGGCATTTTGTGCACAGGGAGGCTGGGAACATGGGTTTGACCTAGGCCGGGGCTGTGTGACCAGGGAGAGGTAGTGTGCTAAAAGCCACAGTGGGAGTCCTTTCTTGAGGTCCTGATGACAACTTCCATTACTGAGTGTTAAATGACTCAAACTTGGGACTTAGAACAGCAAACTCACGGTCTTCCATTCCCAAGCTAGAGTCAGATCAAGGCAGGCAATGAATCCCTATGGAGGATCCTTCTTGACTTCCCAGTTAAGGGCTATAGGAGTCCTTGGCTTGTGGCTTCATCACTCTATTCTGCCTCCATCTTATGGCCTTCTGTTCCATGTCCATCTCTCCTGTCATTTATAAGTACACTGTCATTAGGCTCAAGGGACACCCAGGTAATTTGAGATGGTCCCATTTTAAGACCAACATCACATTCATAGTTCCCAAGGTAGATATGGTTTGGGAGACACCTAATTTATAGAGAAAGCAACTGTGTTCCCCTGAAGGAACAGTTCCAGAGGTGGTGCTGGGTAACAGGGCTGGGAAGTGGGCCTCCAACTGTCGTCTCCCGCAGGCTTCTGCAGTGGATGGGGGCGCTCACACTACCTGACGTTTGACGGCACCTCCTATACTTTCCTGGACAACTGTACCTCGGTGCTCATGAGAGAGATTCTCCCTCGCCATGGCAACCTGAGCATCCTTGCTCACAGCTACTACTGTGGGGCTACCACCAATGTCACCTTCTGTCCCCGAGCCCTCAGTGTGTACTACAACTCCATGGAGATTGTCCTCACCACCACCACCACTGCCAGTGGGAAGGAGGAGGGCCTGGTGAGTCTCGTGATAGGTAGAGCCCCAAGGCCACACTGCAAACATGAGGTCTAGGTATGGGGTGACAGAGGCAAGGATGAAAAGTCCTCGGGACCAAGAGCGCTCTCCCCTCTGCAGAAATGACCTATAGGAGCTGTCCTAGGTGAAGAATGAATGCCTAGCTCTAGATTGAGTAATAAACAGGAATGTCCCTGGTGTTTGGCAAAGCAGCATCTACTGCTGCCTAGCTGGTCCCTTGATTACTGTTTCCCTCTGGACACCCTAGATCATATGGGACCAAATGTGGATAAGCTCAGGTTTCAGTAAGAATGGTGTGACAGTGTCCTTGAGCGGCATCACCACGATGAGTGTCAACATTTCCACCATTGGCACCAGCATCACCTTTGATGGGCACATCTTCCAGATATGGTTACCCTACAGACACTTCAGCAACAATACCGAGGGCCAGTGTGGTGAGTAGGCATGGCATGGCTCACTCTGCACCCATAAATGAGGGGAAGGAATGGGTCTATGGAAAACAGCAAGAAGCTGATTGTAATCCCTACCCTATTCACCAGGTACCTGCACAAACAGCCAGGCAGATGACTGCCGCCGGCCAGATGGCACCATAGCTTCCAACTGCCAGGACATGGCCAAAGACTGGCTGGTGCCTGGGAACAGCAACAATGGCTGCTTAGCTCAGCCTAGCCCTCCCCCAAGCACCACTCCCCAGCCCTCAGTGTCCAGCACACCCACCTCCACCCCATGCCCCACTGTACCCCTCTGTGAGCTGATGCTGAGCCAGTGAGTCGGCCTTTGGGGTGGTGGGCCAGGGCATTAGTCCCTTTGGCTAGCCTCCCTGCTGGGCCCTGAGCTCCCAGCCCTGACCACTCACTGTCATAGGGTCTTCGCCGAGTGCCACACGCTCATCCCTCCAGACACCTTCTTCAGTTCCTGTGTCAATGACTACTGCAATACCAATGTTACTGACATGCCCTGTCAAAGCCTGGAGGCCTATGCCACACTCTGCCGGGCCCGGGGTGTGTGCACCAACTGGCGTAATGCCACTGGAGGGCTTTGTGGTAAGTTGGAGCATTCAATTTAGTCAGGGCTCCAGTCTCCTTGGTTCTTCCGAACCTGCCTGGTGACACTCTCTGCATCCACAGACCTTTCCTGTCCACCCACTAAGGAATACAGGCCTTGTGGACCTCTGCATCCAGTATCCTGCAGCTCCAGGTGAGTGTCATCTAAGTAATAGGGAGTGTGGAAGTAGCAGCTGACCTCCCATGTCTGAAGGGTCTGAGTTCTGGGTCCCCCAAAATTGGCTCTTGGAGGTGCCATTTCATTTCTGATCCTACACTCTGCTGCTCCTCGTCACACCAGAACCCTGAACATTTCAACTGAGATGCTGGCAGAGGGCTGCTTCTGCCCTGAGAATCAGCTCCTCTTCAACTCACGCATGGACATCTGTGTGCTGGAGTGTCGTAAGCGCCATTCACCTACCCCAGGACAAGCCCTATCCTACCCCTCTCCCCCATAGGGTCCTCACCTGCCGGGCCAGGATCCAACACATCTGCAGACTCTCTTCTGCCTGACTAGTATGTGAGAGGATCCTGGTGAGGTCATTAGTCTTGCAGATGTCTAAAGGCTTCCTGTGAGCCTGCCACCCTTCTGTCTCAACTCTGCTGCTTGGAGCTGGTCAGAGAAGTTGCTAGGCTCTCAACATCCAACCTCACCACAGCTTCAGGGACCTGACACCCTCATAATTCTCTAAGGCCTTCCGTTCCACTCTGCGAGAAGATAGAGCTTTTGGGTTGGGGTATAGGTGGCCGGGACTAAAAGCACAGTTCTCTCAGCCCATGACCCCCTTCTGCCTGGCCTCGAACCCCAGCATCTTCAGTAACAAGTTTACTCATTTCTTTCTAGCCTGCGTGGGACCTGATGGGCTACCCAAGATTGTGAGTGGTGCTGCTCCCCTGACCCCCCAACTGGAGCTAAAGAGAAGCAGGAAGTAGGGAGGGTGGCTGGGTCTGCATAGCCCAGGAGGCTCCTGGCTTCCTTCCTGCTCTCACTCTGGACAGCAGAGGCCTAACCTGTTGAGGGCAAACAATGACTTGGAGTTGGGTTCAGGCAGACAGGCCAGGGACTTTAGTGCTTCTGAGCCTCCAGAGATCCTGATTTGGCCTGTTTCAGCCGGGAGAACACTGGATCAGCAACTGCCAGTCCTGTGTGTGCGACCCCAGCTCTGTGTCAGTACAGTGTGAGCCGGTGCGGTGTGAGAGCCAGGAGCACCCACAGTGCACAGAAGCTGGCCTCGTGACCATGACCAAGCCCAACCCTGACAACCCATGCTGCCCCGAGACAGTCTGTGGTGAGCACCTCCTGGGGGACGTAGGAGAGTCATACTCTAGGCTTAGCTACCCTGGGCCACTCAGGTGGGGGATGGTCTCAAGATGCTTCAGCTTTTGACCTAAAAATAAGGTTGGTGACCTCTGGTCTGACCTAACAGAGCAGAGAATTGGTAAGGACCAAGGGGATGAAAGAGTGAGGGGACTTGAAACCCAGAAAAGCTATGAAGCACACTAGGTCCCAAGGGAAAATGACACTAGAGACCAGTATTTCCAGAAAGGGAGAAGATGGGGACCGGGGTGGGGCAAAACGGGCAGCATCCTGATGGCCACATCTCTACAGTCTGCAATACAACCACCTGCCCCAAGAGTCAGCCCAAGTGTGAGCCAGGGCACGAGCTGATCCACACCTACGAGGAGGGCAGCTGCTGCCCCAGCCCCAGCTGTCGTGAGTGGGAATGGAACTGAAGCCCGGGGGAGGGCGCATGGAGATCGGCTGCACTGGGGTTGGGAGTGAGGAGGGGCAAGGGTTTCTCCTCCACTGCCCAGATGCATATTCATCCCCTTTCCTTGCAGGACCTATGATGTGCACATACAATGACACCCTCTATGGGGTAAGGGATCAGCCCAGGCAGGGTGGAAAGTAGGGGGAGGCCGAGGTGGGTGGGAAGCCCGTGTCCTTCAGTTCCTGATCCTTGTCTCAGCATCCTTGCCAGAAAGGCAGATCTGAAGAGGGGGTCTGGGCCCTTAAGACATAAGTCATAAGGCCATTTGTGTGTGTGTGTGTGTGTGTGTGTGTGTGTGTGTGTGTAGGAATTGTGGAAAGAGAGGCTACCACAGTTGCTGCCTCTGAGTGGCCAGCTTCTGGGTCTCCCTCCCAGCTCACTCTTGTCCCCACCCACTGGACACCTGTGTTCAGCTAGGGGGACAACGACACCTTGGGGGAAAAGAACTGGACCCATGGGCCATGCTTGGACTCAGCCAAGATCCCCGACCTGAAATGTGCTCACCCCCTTCCCCCACCTTCTCTCTGTACCACCCTTCTTATCTGCTCTAGGTTGGGGCAAACTTCCCAGGCAACGACCCCTGCCAAACATGCACCTGCTTCTCTGTGGGCCATCAAGAACCCAAAGTAGAGTGTAGAGAGATCCTTTGTACCACCTCCTGCCCCCAGGTGAGCCTGTGGCCCAACAGACATTCTGAGAGGCTACCCATGGCAGCCCATCATTGAGAGTGCTCCAATTCACCATAATTTTGAGGTCTTGTTTTTTTTTTTTTCCTTAAGGGGAAAAGTAGGGGATGATGAGGACTGGAGGACAGGCCCTGCAGGTTGGTGAGCTGACTAGAAACAGGTCTAGTATGGTACCAGTAGACCAGCAGTTCTCAACCTGTGGGTCATGACCCCACCGGAGTCAAATGACCCTTTCACAGGGGTCACATATCAGATATCCTGCATATCAGATATTTACATTACAATTAATAACAGTAGCAAAATTTCAGTTATGAAGTAGCAACAAAATAATTTTATGATTGGGAGTCACCACAACATGAGGAACTGTATTAAAAGGTCACAGCATTAGGAATTTTGGGAATGCTGAGAACCCCTACAGTAGACAGAGAGGCTAAGAAGCAGGGTGAGCTAAGTTTCAAGGCCTGGGAAGAGGGTACAGCACAGAGCAAAGACATGCCCTCTCAGGAGTTACTGCTAAGGAGGCCCAGGGCCCCCAGTTAGAAGGGTGGCTGAGATGAGAGACCTGACTACCTCTCCTGTCCCCACAGGGCTTCAAGTATACGCCGGTGCCAAAGCAGTGCTGTGGGGAGTGTGTACAGAATGCCTGCTTCACGCCAGATGGCCAGGCAATGCAGGTAGTAGGAGAGGGAGAAAGAGATCTTCCCCTGAGCAGGTCTCAACCACAAGTGGATCCCTGTCTGGACCTCTACTGTGTGCTTTGCTTTTCAGCCCAATGAAACCTGGGTGAACAGTCATGTGGACAACTGCACTGTGTACCACTGTATGGATGAGAATGGAATCCATATACTGACTCCAATGCCCCCGGACTGCCCTGATGTGTCCAACTGTACGGTATGTGCCTGGGAGGCCCTGCCTTTGGGTGGTCTACCCTTCTCATGCCCCTGGAAAGTTCTGACCCAAGAAGTCTGTGTGTCTCTGTGGCTTGTACCCCATGTCCTGGCTCTGTCCCAGTCCTATTCTGTTCTATTCTTGGCCCTGCAGGGAACCCTAAGGAAATCAGGTTGCTGTTATTCCTGTGAACAAAATGGTAAGTTGAAGATCTCTCTCATCTAGTCCTCCTGTTCCATTCAGTTCCCAGCAAAAGCAATCCAAGTTTCTCCCACTGGGTAGCAGATTGCACCAAAGTCCCAGGATAACAGAAGTGGCTGGTCACCCATGAAATGTGTGTCCATTACTTCTCTCATCTCTGGGACAAAATCCCCAACAAAATCCAATGAAGGCAGGAAGGATTTATTTGGCTCATGGTTTCAGTGTGCAGGCCCACCATGGCAGGCAGACATGGCAGCAATAGAAGCAGATGGCCATATATGTCTGCAGCCAAGAAGCAGAGGAGGATGAAGGCTGGTGCTCAGCTCACTTTCTCCTTTTTACTCAGTCTGAGTACCCAGCCCATGGGAGGTCCTGACCACTAGATCCAGGGTGGGTCTTCCTCATAAGTTAATTTAATCTACAAAATCACCCAGAGCTCCATCTCCTCAGTGATTCTAGATCCTGTCAAGTTGACAGTCAACCTTAACCATCACGGAAGGTCAGTCTTACCAGGTCTAGGCTCTCTGAGTTAGAGTCTAGAGCCTCTGCAATTGGCCTGTCTTCTTTGCAGACTCAAGTACATGTCAAGTGCACATAAACACAACCATCCTGCGGTATAAAGGCTGTGAAACAGATGTGGCAGTCAATATCCCCTTCTGCAAGGGGTCCTGCTCTGCAATGTCCAAGTGAGTGGATATCTTGCCTCCACAAGAGTATAGCAGAACCAGTTGCTACCTTGTCACCTTGGGTCTTTTTTTTTTTTTAAGATTTATTTATTAATTATGTGTACAGTGTTCTACCTGCATGTATGCCTGCAGGCCAGAAGAGGGCACCAGATCTCAGGATAGACGGTTGTGAGCCACCATGTGGTTGCTGGGAATTGAACTCAGGACCTTTGACCTCTATATCTCCAGGCCATCACCTTGGGTCTTACAGAGACTGTCTCCTTTTTGGGGTCAGGAGGCCATAGACATCTATCTGCATAAAACATATGGCCCATCTTCCAGCCAAGCCAGAGGCAAACCTGGCTTGGCTGCACAGAATATGATTTTGGCTGGGGACTTGTATCCAGGAATCTGAATGTGTCTAGGGGGACAGGCAGCATCAGATCCCTCTGTGGTCCCCAGATGGCCCCAGGCTGTGGTCAGCTGTGAACAGGAGTGGCCACCAAAGTTGAGCATTTGTGGGTCCTAGGCTAGCTTCAGGGCTTAGGGTGGCTGTCCAGAGGAAGAGTCTCAACAGAATCAGTAGGATGGAAAGGGAGGGCAATCGCAGGAGGCTATGCAAGATAGAGCAGGGTTGAAAGGGAGTCCAGGAGGGGCAAGGCTGTGTGTTCCAGAAAGTAGCCATGGTGGACAGTCAGACAGCCTTCAAGAGCCCACAGAGGACCATGAATATATGCCGTACTGCTAAGAGGATCACAGAGTTGAAATGTTGATCCTCCCATGTCCACAGGTACTCCATGGAGGCTCAGGCTATGGAACATCAGTGCACCTGCTGTCAGGAGAGCAAGGTCCATGATGTAGCTGTGACCATGCAGTGTCCCAACGGTACAGTCATCCAGCACACCTATAGCCACATCGATGAGTGCAGCTGTGCCCTGGCCTGCAGCTTCCTGCCCCTGACTTCCATGAACACTCCCTAGAGTCCAGTGCTGGAAGGCAATTGCATCCCCCAACCCCTCATGTCCCTCCACCTGGAGCAGAACCTGTATGACTGACCATGAAAACCTTAGGCAGGCATGCTCCATGTGGCCCACAAGAACCCTCTGTGGCTCCCACTGCCTCTGCTCCACCCTCTGCCTGCCACTTGGTGAAACCAGTATCATGGAGGGTAATTAAGGGACAATTAAGATCCCCGTGAGGAGGGTGCCAGGCAAGGATTTGGTCCTTGAAGGACCCTCTTGGCTGTCTTGGCCTCAACCTCTGTGATGACATATAAATGTCTTGGAGCAAAACAGAGAGCCTGTGACTATAAGGCTCCCCACAGCAAGCCTGTGTGCCCTTCAACACTTAAAGAAGTCCTCTGCCAGTCATCTCAAGTGCACAAAGGCAGATGGGATTGTCCAAGCAAGACAAGCTACCAGGGAGCTGTCAGGCAAGGTGGCTGCCTGCTGGAGGGGCCCTGGGATCTGGGGTTGGAGAGGGGCCTGTGCTCACCGAGCCCTAAGCTGCAATAAACCCTGGCACTTTGTGTCTCCTCCTGTCTTTTTTGCCCACTCTGCACGGATCCCTGTTTATGGTTTGGAGTTGCCAGGGATGAAGCTAGAGCTATCAACAGGAACATGAGAGATGAGAGACCAGCTAAGAGGAATGGGGGAGATGTACTTGGCCACTGGCTGGACACTGAGAGCATGGGCAGGGGCAAGGCCAGTCAGGGAACCAGATGCCAGTCTAGCTGCTACATAATCCAGGGGCAGTACCAGGGCATCCTAGACAGAGGAGCCTGTGGCCTGGCTGTAATGGACAGAAAAGAAGGGTGCTTTGCACTGCTCAGACCCCAGGAAGTTATGGATGCAGTGGTACTGGGACCCCAGGTCTTGTTCTGCCTCCTCAGGTGTACTATATTCAAGATACCTGTCAATCATTGGTTTATCATGTAAGTGGCTATCCTTGGCTCCTTTCTCCCCTCCCTCTGTCCAAAATGGAGACCATTCCATAAACATGGCAGGGAGTCATAAGGGCCAGGGGTGGGAAATGTGGGGTTCTATGGCTTGGGTTCCAGAAGTAGGAGTGGCAGGAAGGTAGCACGTCAAGAGGGATCCTATACGTGATGTGGGACAGAGAATGTCCTAGCTTGACTGTGCAGGAAGGGTACAAGATGGCCTCCAAATGTACAGAATGTGGTCAATGGTGGGACTATGACCTAGGAAGAAAAAGACAGACACAGTGGCTAGCTATGGCCCCCAAAGCCTCTGGAGAAGTAAGCAGAGGAGCCCTGCTAAGGGCTGTGGGATACCCTGCTCCCCGGAAGTGAATGCAAACAGACCCAGTGTGGCAGAGCTCCTGTGCCTGGTGTTGGGGTCAAGGACCAGGCTCCTCACAGATCTGGCCAGTGAAGCTGCCTTTCATATGCACTTGTTGAGGTCTGTCTGGCAGGCAGCCCACTGGGGAAACATGGTCCAGAGACTGATGAGGCAGCAGGTGTGCCGTGGGGCCAACTTCTCTAAGCTTCTCATGATGTGGCTTCTAGGTCAGAAAGTTCCATGTCCCTGTCCTCATGAAGCCACAGCAAAATGTCTCTTCAACCTCTGTCATTCCAAGCACCATCGTTGGAGTCAAGGACATCACTTGACAGGGACACTCTCAAATGTTGAGATCTTCCATGTCTGGGGACACTCCCGACTAAGGCCATATAGATAGTGTGTGCTGCTGCTGTTCCACTGTACCTGTCAGGAAACAGGCACAAAGAGACGAGGGGCCTTGCTTTAGTAGGAACAAGGCCTGCTCCAGCCAGGGTGGTAGACTCAAGAGTCTACTCTGAAAATGCAAGGCCTGACCAGACCCAGGGAAAATCACAGTAAGACACAAGGAACAAACCAACAGCTCTAGGTCCACTTTAAATATATTCCAAGAGGGATTTCTGCCTCCTAGATGGGAGAGTGGGCAACTCCTGCCCACAGACACTGACAAAAAGAAACTACAACCAATAAGTGGATTGAGTTGAAAGCAGACATCACTCTGAAAGAAGAGGCATTAGCAATACACCAACAATGGCAGGGCAACCCAGGGGTCCACACCAGGAGGCCCAATCCCCTTCCTTGTAGGGAATGTACACTTAGCTCCTAAGTCACCAGGCCTCTGGGGCCCTGAGTGAGGCAGAGTTCAGTAAACAAAAAGGGATCAAGCACCAGCCACTCAGATTTGCAGGTAAGGTAGGGTGGTTTTAAAGAAATGATTTAAGATTATTGGTGATGGACCTGAAGTTCTCCCAAAGGAAAGAACTGAAAGGGAGCTGGGTGTGGTGGCACATACCTGTAATGCCAGCACTCTAGAGGTTAAGGCATGAGGAGGCCAGCCTGGGCTATACAGTGAGATCCTGTATGAGAGAGGGGGGGAGGAGAGAGAGAGAGAGAGAGAGAGAGAGAGAGAGAGAGAGAGAGAGAGAGAGAGCGCAGAATGTTCTTGCTGGAGCTGCAATCACCAGGAAGGAAGGGTACTATTTAGCCTGGGGAAAACTGTATCCCACATGCTTCCCTTCTGATTCCACAGAGCCACCCTGCAGCCAAGATCGGTTTAAAGCTGCTTTTAAACCGATCTTGGCTGCAGGGTCCTGTTCCCATAGATAGGACAGTGGAGGTCTGCCGTCCACAAAGATGCTGGCGAGTTGTCTTCAAAATTAAATGAGGGGCTGGAGAGAAGGCACAGTTGTTAATAGCACTTGCTGTAATTCCAGAGGACTCAGGTTCCATTCCAAGTGACTGCATGGTAGCTCACAACCATTTGTAATTCATTCCTGGGAACCTGACACCCTCTTTTGGCCTCCATGGGCATGAGGTATGCACACGGTACACAGATACACATACAAGCAAAACACCCATACACATAAAATAATAAAAAATTTAAAAACATAAACGAGGGGCTGGGGCACAGCTCAACAGGTAAAGCCACTTGTCACACAAGCCTGGCTACCTGAGTTCAATCCCTGGAACCTGCATAAAGGTGGCAGGAGAGAAGTGACTCTAAAAATTGTCCTCTGACCTCCATGTGCACATGATGGCACGCACACGCCCACACTTACATATACACCATACGCTCACACACAATATTAACAAATGAAAGTTAAAACTAACTAAATGGGAGACTGGGGAGATGGCTCAGCTGGTAGCGGGCTTGCCACATAAGCAGGAAGGAGGATTTGAGTTGAGTCCCCAGAACCCACATAGCAGCAGGATTTGGTAGTGTGTGCTTTAGTATCAGTACTGGGGAGGTGGAGACAGGCAGGCTCCTGGGACTCATTGGCCAGCCAGCCCAGTCTATTTGGCGAGGTCCAGGCCACTGAGAGACCCTGTCTCAAAAATCAAGGTGGGCGGCACCTGAGGGACAACATCTAAGGTCGACCACTAATCTCCACACACGTGTATCAGCACACACATGTATATACATGCAGGCACACACATACACACATACACACACACACACACACACACACACACACACACACACACACACACACACACATACCTGCACATCCACACACATACACCAAAAATAAAAATAAAAGGAGTCATGTTGATCCTTTGCCTGAACTTAACCACAAATATGTTCTCTCCTAAGCACTCAAGGTAGTCTCAAAGGCCTAACATGCTAAGCAGGAAGGTAGGTACTCCAGGAAAGGGCACTCGGCAACTCTGCCTTGTGTACCTGGGGGACCTGCCCAAGGCCCTGCAATGGGAACAAGTGGACACTGTTCCTTCCTCCCACAAACAGTATTGGGGAATGTGGATGACAAGGAGACACACACTACTCTTGTGAGCTCACAAGCACGGCTGGGTAAGGTCTGCTCCACCAGGGGCAGGGAAGGAGAGAGAAGTGTCTTTGCCACTGTTCTCTTGCTGTGAAGAGACACTATGACCAAGGCGCTCTTATAAAATAAAAGAGCATTTAATTGGAGGCTTGCTTAGAGTTTCAGAGCCGGTCCATTGTTATCAAGACAGGAAGCAGATAGGCAGACTGCTACAATGGAGCAGTAGCTGAGAGTTCCTGATCCATAGGCAGCAGGCAGAGAAGAAACACGGGGCCTGGCATAGGCTATTGAAACCTCAAAGCCCAGCCCCCATGACACACTTCCTCCAACAAGACCACACCTCCTAATCCTTCTCAAATGGTTTACCAACTGGGGACCAACCATTCAAACCTATGAGCCTATGGGGGCCATTCTCATTCAAATCACCATGTAAAGCTAGGCAGGAAGGAGAAGCTTGAGTGGCCCCACAGGGACAAGTGAACAAGTTCAAAGGCCATAAGAGGAGCATGCCAAGCACCCCCAAGAGGAGGATTGTCAGGAAGCTGGGCACTGCCTTTTTGAGACAGGGTCTCTCAGTGGCCTGGACCTCGCCAAATAGACTGGGCTGGCTGGCCAATGAGTCCCAGGAGCCTGCCTGTCTCCACCTCCCCAGTACTGATACTAAAGCACACACTACCAAATCCTGCTGCTATGTGGGTTCTGGGGACTCAACTCAAATCCTCCTGCTTATGTGGCAAGCCCGCTACCAGCTGAGCCATCTCCCCAGTCTCCCATTTAGTTAGTTTTAACTTTCATTTGTTAATATTGTGTGTGAGCGTATGGTGTATATGTAAGTGTGGGCATGTGCGTGCCATCATGTGCATGTGGAGGTCAGAGGACAACTCTCTTCTCTCTGCCAGCCACTGAGATGAAGAGACAAGGAACTTGGGCCATGGGGGATGTGGCATTGTCTGAATAGGTGCAGACAAATGTGGGGCATGGAATAGGGTGCAGCTGTTCGAGAACAGAAATGTGGACCCAGCACCCGACCCTAACACAGGCCCTTACTCTGCCTGTGCTCACAGGATGTTTCCATGCTCCCTGCTGTGCTCTGGGACTCTCTGTTTATTCTTCTACCAACCCATTGCTGATGTCCTTGATCCACTGTCTCCACAATATCTGGCAGATGATGCCCTGCCT